GCGCGGCTGGACCTCCTCGGTCCCGAGTCCGCGGTTGCGCGCGGCGGCTTGCGGGTGGTTTCTGGAACTCTCTGGGACTCTCGGAAGTTTGGGAGCTGTCGGCTTTCCGCGTATTTAGAAGTCTTTAAAACGCGGCCTCTCTGTAGTTTATATAACTAAAGTTTACGTAGTCTTAAGTTTATATTAGCGTTTATCCACTTATGGGAAGAAGTTGCTGTGAACAGAGAGTGTGAACTGCAAGCCTTACGCTGTCCGGAGGAAGGTTTCGGAGATGGCGGTTTTCGTTGGAGAAAAAAACCAAGGAGTTTGGTCAGCACAGCAGCGGAAGGGCAAGGAAGGATGGACCACTTCCTAAGGCGGGCTGCGGGCCAGGGAAGAGGGCAGCCCAGGCCTAGTGCCCGTGGACTTGAGATAGGATTTTATGTCTAGTTTTTTTCCCCCCGCCCCCAGTGCTAAGGATTGAACTCAGGATCTTGCACACTCTAGGCCAGTGCTCTCTACCGACATACAACCCCAGACCGGTGGCTGTAGTTTTTAAAGCAACTGATTGATTTGGTCGAAAAGTTAAAAACGAAAACAAGCCTAATTCTTTGGACTTGACTGCTACTTACTTGTTTTGAGGTTGATACCAGCTTTTCTAATAACCTTATTTGCCAGAATGATTTAATCCTGTCTGATAGGAATTATGTTCATTTCCCTTCTCTTCTCTTTGGGACCTTTGTTTGCCCTAGGCTGTGTTTTTCCACCACCGGGAGCCTTGATCCTCCCTGTGGCTTTTGGGCTGTGTCCTGTAAAATTTTTTGGATTATGCAAAACATGAAATTTAGGGTCTTAGTTACCTTTGCAGTGGTTTGCCCATGTGGATGACTTGGCAAGAAGTGGAGCAAGAGGTTTGAGAAGTTCGTTGTTTTTTTTTTTGGTGGGGGCACCGGGCATTGAACTCGGGTCCTTGCTCTTGCAAGGCAGGCCACCGAACCACTGAGCTAAATCCCCGGCCCCGAGAAGTTCGTTTTTAAAGTTGATTTTGTGTCACTGTGGAAGAAGAGGAAATTGGGAATTTCAGATTACTGAGAGCTTGAGTAGAACATGAGTTCAGCATTCTCTTCAAAACAGGTTATTTTTTACTTTATTTATTTATTTATGGTACTGGGAATTGAACCCAAGGCCTAACACATACTCTGCAAGCTCTCTACCACTTGGTTACATCCTGAGCCCTAAGACATCAGTGTAAATTTATTTTCTTCTTTATATCACTGTTAGATATGGGAGGTATTTTTGGCCGCAGGCAGACAACTGGAGTTGTATTGTTTCATACTTGGGAAGACTAAATTATAAATGTGAGATCATTGTGTACCTGTACCTATGTGGTGTGTAGTAGATTTCTTTTTTAAGCATTCCCATTATTTTGAGTGGTAGAGCCGTTTTTCCTTGTGTTGACTTTTGGACAGTTGTAAGCAAATACTCTACTGTACTCATATAAATTTTTTTGTTGACTTTTTTTGGTACCAGTGATTGAACTTGGGTCCTTGTGCTTGTGAGGCAGGTGGCGGCACCACTGAGCTACATCCCCGGCCCCATTGACAGCTTTTAACCTAGCAAACTTGAAAGAAAGCCAGGTTTGGGGTGCGTTCATTCATCGTTTTCTTTTTTCTGAGACAGGGTCTTGGTAAGTAATCCAGGCTGGCCTTGAACTTGCTGTGTAACCCAGGGTGGCCTTGAATTTGTGGTCTCCTGAGTGCTGGGATTACAGGCGTGTGGCACCTGCTGGGCTCCAAAGTTTTAAAGAGGGTCTTGGAGTACTTGTTACCTGCTGCAGTCTGCTGGAGTGTAATTAGCATGAAATCCACCCTGCTTTTTGTCTGCCAGGCCACCTTCTATGTTGGCTTATTGTTCAAATACTTTAAAATCATTTCGGATGCCTGTTGATGGGGAGCACGTGAATATAATTAGCTTTCTTGCTTGGTTTTATAACAGGATTCTTTTTAAACTGCTTTTCCACTTCATTCGGAATGGCCGTGTTTAATTTCCTCTAGAACACCATCTAGTGGTGAAGGGCTTGTAGCAGCAGGTTCATTAGTGAGTAGGATGGCATCAGAGTGGGAAGACTGAACAAATGCTCTAGTTCTTTTCTTTTACTTTTCTTTTCTGTTTTGTTACCGGGGATCGAATTCAGGACCTTGTGCTTGTGAGGCAGGCATTGGAAACACTCAGCTAAATCTCAGGCCCTCTAGTTCTTTCCTGATGGGTAGAATTTGAGAGCTTAACCTTAAGAAAAAGGTTAACGAAAAGAGAAGCAAAGTTGATGGAACAAAAACTGTAAAGTAGAAGTGGAAAGATAAATCATTTATTAGATATGTCAGCCAGGGAATATTTTATTTATTTATTTTTATACTAGGGATTGAATCGAAGGCCTTTGCAACGAGTTACAGCCTAATCAGATTTCATTTTGAGAGCTTTTGCTAAGTTGTCCAGGCTGGGCTTGAACTTGGAATCATACTGCCTCATCCTCCCACAGTGCTGGGGTTGTTACAGGCCTATGCCACAATGCCCAGCTCAAAAAAATTTCTGACATGGGAAAAATGAGTTCTGCAAAACAGTAAAAGCATTCAAATTTCTAAGGGTTGCAGTACATATTAAAGAGAAGGTTTTTGTTTATATTCCTCATAGTTATTTCAGAAGCTGTGCTGTATTTGACCTGGCTTATCTGTTAAAATCAGTACCATATCCAAAGTTTATAAAGGCCTTCTAGCCATTCTCTTTTTTTTTGGGGTATGGGGGATGGAACTCAGGACCTTGTCAGACCGCTGAGCTTGGCCTTCTAGCCATTTTAAATGAAGTGGTCATTTCTTATGGCTCTGAGACTGTTGAACTGTTTGTGAATTAAAATACTCTAGGCATTTTAGGAATCTTAAGTGCAGTTGCAAAAAAAAAAATCACTTGTTTTGGAAGGGTGATTTCTTCAGGCATCATTTGGTTTTTGTGCCCCTTGATTCTTTTTTTTTTTCGCCCAGTACTATGTATTGAACTCATTACCTTGTGCTTGCGAGACAGGCGTGATGCCACTGAGCTAAATCCCTGGCCCAGTGCCCCTTGATTCTTTTCCTACCAAAGGCATGTCAACACTGTCACACTCTTTAGTTGGTATACACACACACTATTTAGTTGGTATACAGTAATTCCTTAATCCCTTTTCTTAACTTGAGAGCATATTCCTTGACCGGTGGGCTTTGCATTTGAGGTTTTTCCCATATGCTGGTAGCAGTGTCTAAGGTATTCATAAAGTATTGAGCAAGCGAATCAGCTCTCTTGGTTTGTCAGTATCCCGATAATCTTTCTCTGAGTCAGAATTTAAGAAAGTCTGAAAAAATACATAGCGTATTGTTTTAGTTTCGTAGTACTAGAGACCTGAGTTCTTATTCTGTGAATTATTTTCCTCCTATGAAAGGAAGTCAGGCAATTGTCTCTTAACAGATGATGACTGCCATTGTAAAGTATGACCTCTGACCTTGAGTAATAAAGGATATGACTTACTGGGTTTCAATAATATCTTAGGACATAGATAAAAAGTATTAGTAGATCCATGTGATAAGGAATGATAGTTCCCCATTTTTTTTTTTTTTTTTTTTT